GCCAACCACGTGAGGACACCATCTCCGGCCCCCAGTGGAGCCACCCCACCTGACACCCTGGGGAGCAGAGATGTGCCACCCCCCCACCCCCCACCCCCCACACAAGCCCTGCTCAGAACTCACATTCGTGAGCAAATGAACAGACTGTTATTTTTCATAGCACTAAGTTTTAGTGGTTGGTTACACAATAATAGTTAACTGGGGAAAGCCTCATGAAGAAACTCTCCCCACTTTACAGATGAGAAACTGAGGCACGGGGGATTGAAATCCTTTACCCGGGGTCTCCCAGCCAGTTAGTGGGAACTGGCATTTGAAATCAAACTCTTAATGTTTTATTTTGGTGAACGGATGTTCTTAATTTTAATGAAGTTCAGATGATCAGTGTTTTTATGATTAATATGTTTTTTAAACATGTTTTTATTGATTTGAGAGAGAGAGAGGAAGGGAGAGGGAGATAGAAAAGTCAATGAAGAGAATCATTGAGCAGCTGCCTCCTGCACTCCCCCTACTGGGGATTGAACCCACAACTCACAATGGTCCTGGTATCTCATCTGACGTTCAACACGTAAGGTCCTGGTGTCCCAGCACATGGAGTGCTACCATGTATCTGACCAAGTTCCACTGAGAGATATTTAGTTTGTTCCTAATTTTTCACCATTTTGGACAAAACTGTGGGGAAGACCCTTGCAGGTATATATTTGCATTGCCCCAACTATTTCCAAAAAATAAATGCTTAGACATGGAATTTCTTGGGCAAAGAGAGAGCAAAGTTTAAAGATTCCTGGTAATACAGCCAGAAGGCCAATGGGCACCCTGTGCGAGAGGCATTTTCTAGGAGCATCATAACAAATCATGACAAACTGGCTGGCTTCAGAAAACAGACATTTATTCTCTCCCAGGTCCGGAGGCCAGAAGCCTGGAACGCAGGTTGGTTCCTCCTGGGGGCCCCGAGGGAGAAACCTTCCGCTGCCTCTCCTGCTCCTGGTGCTGCCCCCAGCCTTGGTGTTTCTCGGCTCGCAGCCACATACGGACAACCTCCGCCTCCACCCTCTCTCTGTCCTCTCCCCTCCTGTAAGGATGCCAACCTGGGGATTTAGGGCCCATCCTCAATCCCGGATGATTTAATCTTGAAACCTTTAAGATTCTGCAAAGACCTCTTTCCCAATCAGGTCGCAGCCTGAGGCTCCAGGTGAAGGGAACTTGTTGGTAGACAAGGTGTTCCCAGCGTGGGTTTAAGCTGTGGGCACCTGGGGCTCAGGCAGAGCTGGGCGGGTCTGGGCAGGCCAGTCCTGGCTGACAAAAGCCTGGCTGACAGGTGTTTGTGTCAGGGGCTGAGCAGCCCCCGGGGAGGGGAGCCAGCCTGGGGGGGAGGGGGAAGGTACATGCACGGGAGCTGGGCACCACAATTTCTGCCCTTTCTGAGCACTTGCCAGCACTGTTCCAGGTGCCATGTGTGGTAAGCTGGGCCCAAAACAAAGTTAGCCGTGGAGGGAAGAGGTATTCGGAGTCCATCTCACGGTGTCCGTCACTGGCTTTGGTCTCTGAGCCACCCCGGGGCCTGGGCTGCCTACGCTGGTTTTTGTTTGTTTGTTTTTAATCCTCACCCGGGGATATTTTTCCATTGATTTTTAGAGAGAGTAGGAGAGGGAAAGACAGAAATATCGATGTGAGAGAAACATCGATGGGTTGCCTCCTGCATGAGCCCCGACCAGGGCCCAGGCCAAGAAGGAGCCTACAACTGAGGTACATGCCCTTGACCGGAATCAAACCTGGTACCCTTCAATCCAAAGGCTGATGCTCTATCCGCTGAACCACACCGGCTGGGGCCTGGGCTGCCTGCTCTGGAAGGCCAGACTCTGAGCTCCGCCCTCCTGCATAGAACCCGTGGGAAGTACTGAGCCTGAGCAGGGGGGAGGGCAGGGCCGGCCAGGCGGCCTCGTCACTAAGGCGTCCAGCTTTCAGCAAGAAGGAAGCAAACCGCAGCCAGGCTACTCGGATGGACAGACTGGCTGACTGTGGGCACCACGGGGGAGGCACCAAGGGCCCCCGAAGGTGTAAGATCCAGAATGCTCCTGGTTGAAGAGCTGGTGCTATTGAGCGCTTCCTGTGTGCCAGGCGCTGTTATAATCCATTCAATCCCCACAATAAGCCAATGTGCGTTACAGCTGGGGAAACTGAGGCACCAAGCTATTTAGTGAGATGCCGAAGGTGGCACAGCTAGTAAGTGCCAGAGGGGATGCAAAGCCAAGGCTGGCTGGCTCCAAAGTCCAAGTGCTTAGGTGGGGGGTGGGGTGGGAGGGTGAGAGGTTGTGGGGGGAGATGCACTACCACCTGGGGGCAGAAACCAGGAACTTACTGAAATCCCTTGAATAACTCACCAAATCAAAGGAGGTGGCTTGGGAAAGCTGGAGGATGACCAGGGCTCCCCTCCCCACCTCTTTGCCTCTCTCTGCCAGTGATGGGTGTCTTCCCACTTGGGTGGGCCGCCCATGATCCACCAGCGGTGATCAGAGAGGAAAAATCCTGGGGAAGAACTCTGATTGGTCTGTTTTGTTATGTGTCCGATTTTGGACCAATCAGTGCCGCCAAGGGGCTGGCACTCTCCCATTGGCCCAGTTTGGGTCAGGTGCCTACCCCTTAGCTAATCACTCTGGTGAGGGAGGCAGGGTCAAGTCGGGGGAGATTGGTTTCTCCCATTGGGATGACAGGGCTGGTGCGAAGTGGGTGCAGGAGGGTCCCCATGAGAAGGGGACTGCACCCTGTGACCTCAGGGGGAGCTGCCTCCTGGTGGGGGTCACCACTGGATCCTAGAGCTGGAGAAGGCTCCATTCTTGACTTGCTGTGTGACCTTGGGCAAGGAGAGGACGGGAGGGTGCTCTGAGGACCTCAAAAGGCTGCATAATGATATGCAAACGAAGGCGGAAGAGAGAACGCAACCCTAGAACACGGCACTGTGCCAGGTGCTTGCCTGTGTGGAGAGTTAGGATCAGAGATCATAATCTGGGCTTCTCTCGTCTTCCCCTGTATTTCCCCCTTCCTTTCCTGTGCTCACCGCCCCAGGGGACCATCTGGGCGGAGCTGAAAGCCAGCAGCCTGTCTGGAATGGGGAGAGGGTTCCCAGCACGGACAGAGCTCCCTGGGGACGCAAACAGGAGGAAGAGCTCCCAGCCCTGACCAGGGAGGGGACCCAGGGCTGGGGCAAGAGAGGGCCTAAGGGAGGTCCATTGATTCCTGGGCCAAGGGGCCTGCCCCCCCGCCCACCCCCGCACTACTGCAGGCCCATAGGACGTCTTATGTGAGTTGGAGAAAGGTGCCGAAGTTACCAGACAGGGACTGGGCCCGAGTGGGCCTGCCTAGGGCCAGCTGGTGGTGTGTGGGTTTTTGATTTCCTACAAGAAAGATTTCACAATACAAAAAGAAATCTAAAAATAACATAAAAAATAATAAAGATTTCCCAATATAAGCCCAGGTGATCTTGAGAATATGTTGATTCAAGTTGGGGACAGCGGCCCAGCCGGAGGGGCTCAGTGGCTGAGTGTCAACCTATGAACCTTCCGGCTCTGACTGTAAATTGCTTGGCCAGTTTGTTCAGTGTCCCAGTTTCCCATTCTACTTGCCCAGAGGTTTCCCGGCTTCTTACCATTCAGCCTCACGGCTCTGGGAGCTGCCCCAGGCTGGGCTCCAGGGCTCGGTGAGGCCGCGCCCACCTCTGCCCGGTCCTTGCACAACAGGCCCGATGGTTCTGCCTGCACTGCTTCCCGTGTGGGCTTTCCCGGGGTATGTGGGTCACTGGGACCCTGACAGTCTCCCCAGAAAAGCCTCCCAGGCCCCCTTCGGGATAAGAAGAAAGCAGGAGGCTGTCAATGTCAGCCGCTGCCCCGTGATGCTGGGAGGCCGCGGGCCAGTCGTCACCTGAAATTCCTAGGATTCTGGAGCTGAAACGTCTTTCCTGCCGGCTGGGCAGAGGCGGGGCTTAGAGGCTGAAGCTGCCTTTTAGAAAACAGAAAACTGTTCCCTGCGCAGCTGTGTGTGTGGAGTGACCTCATGTTATTCTCATGTCGACCCCATGAGGCAGGAAGGACCATCCCATCTCCTAGATGAGGAAAGCCAGACGGGTTCAGAGAGGTCAGGGGCCTGCCCAGAGTCACACAGCCCACCGCAGCGGCACCGGAGGCACCCATCTCTAATTCCGTCTCTCTCGCGCCATTTCTGTCTCTCCTCTGTTTTTTCCTCGATTCGCTCATTTGACAATTTTAGTCACTAAATACCTCACACACCTTTGGGAGGTCCTAGGGCATGCACAGGGCATGGACCAGGCCAAGCAGGAAGCGGGCGGGGGGGGGGGGGGGGGAGGCTGAAAAGTGTGGCGTAGAGGTTGGCCGCTCTGAGGCTTAGTGGCCTCATCTGTAAAGTGGGTCTAATAATGGGGCGTTCCTTCCGGAGAAGTTTCTACGCACAGCCACACTCGAGCAGGGAATTCTGCTCCCCCTCCTGGAGGCCGGGGTGTCCACACGAGTTGTTTGGAATTCTGCTGGGGAGATTTGTGTCCTCACTCTATTTACCGACTCAGTCGTTCATTTATATCAGGCATGCTTTTATTTTTGTGGCATATTTTTATTTTTATGAGCATATATTTTAGACATTTTCCTACTTTGTGCTATAATCCAGTTCTTTCTTCCTCTCTCCCATTGTTCCGTCTTTGGCCATCGGTAGCTCTGTCCCTTGGCCCGTGTCCCTGGACATGGTAATTGTGTGGTTCAGCATTTCCTTGGTTGCTGGTTTCTGGCATTACATGTGTTCCAGGCTCCTTCTGTGTCTTTCCTGCCCCAGGCCCAGAGCAGCCGTTTCTCCAAGGAGCTTGGTTCCCTTCATTGGAGAGTGGTGTTAGAAACCATTGTCTGGCCCTAGCCGGTGTGGCTCAGTGGATAGAGCGTCAGCCTTCGGACTAAAGGGTCCTGGGTTCGATTCCTGTCATACAGTCATTCTATGTTTACTTACAGAGCGACTGCCAAACTACTTTCCACAGCGGCTGCACCACTGTCCACGCCCAGCAGTGCGTGAGGTTCCGGTTTCTGCTCATCCTGGCCAGCACTCGTCCGGCCTGTCTTTTTGACGACTGCCACCCGGGAGGCAGTGCCCACTGGGAGGGGTGTCTCGCTGTGGGTTTGATTTGCATTTCCGGGATGATCACTGGCGTCTGGCACCTTTTCATGTGCTCCTTGGCTCTCCGCGTGTCTTTGGAGAAACGTCTGTTCCGATCACATGCCGCTGTTAACTGGGCTGTTTGTCTTGACTGGCACTTTTCGGCGTCCCCTTCAATTTGGCGCCTGAGGGAGGGGGTTGCCTCTCTCACGTCACCCTGTCCCAACCTGAATCTGAAAGAAGAGGACGGGGTGCCGTGAGCCTTTGCAGGGGGACTTCCTTGTTTCCCGGAGGTTTTGGTGACAGGGTGTGGGACGGGAATGGGCCGGGATAAGGATGAGGGGGCCTAACTCTGGGTGGGTGGGGTTCTGGTGTGAGGAGGGGAGGGCACTAGGGGTGGGGACCCTCGGGGCACCTGTCCCTGCGTGGCTGACAGAGGCAGAACCTGCTCCCCAGGGGCCCCCACCCTCCGTGCCACGTGGCCCCCGGGACCCAGACCCTCCACAGCCTCCACAGCTGGAGTCGGCAAAGGGAAGAGCACAGGCTCCAGCGTCGGTGTGACCTCGGCTGGCGTCCGGCTCTGTCTGCACGTGGAGGGGACGGCACCGGGGCGGCACACGCCGCACGGGGCCTGGGCTCCCCCTCCTTGAGGGGTCTCTCGCGGGGCCAGAGGTGGGTGCATTGGGGACAGAGCTGCTGCTCAGGCGGCCACTCAAGGGCTCCACCATCCCGGCCCCCCAGGCCCAGGCTGCCAGCCGAGAGGCTGCTGGGCCTGAGTGAAGGGGCGCAGGTGTGGCATGGGGGTGGCAGGCTCCCCCCAGTCAAGGGGCTTCTCGGTCACGGTCACTTCCCTTCTCAGGGCCTCGGTTTCCTCCTCTGTGCGAGGGACGAGCCCCCAGCAGGGCCCTGGGGGAGGCTGCCAGGCTCAGAGGAGCACTTCCTCCATTTCCCAAACCGCAGGCACCCAGGGCACCCCAGAGGCTTGCTTCCTCTGAGCCCACTCTGTTATGTCCTTAAATTCATTCACTTTTTCCCTTAAAAAATAAGCTTTCTGTCATCACAAACAGAGAATGAGTCGCACTTGCCAGAAATAGACAGTAACCATAGAGATACGCACAATGGAAATAATGAGATTATCTGGCGGATGGAGGCTGACCCGCAGGGCCTGCTGGGTTCTGGGCGAATGAGCACTCGGCCGGGTTGCGGAGGCCGCAGGTGTCCTAGCAACGAACAGAGGCCAGAGGAGCCGTGAAGAGAGGAACCTTCTCGCCACGGGCGTCCTCTTTAGTTAACGCTACGTCCTGGGAGCACGAAAGGACCCAAGGACCCCAGCCCCAGTGGGACCCTTGCTCGGGGAACCTGAAGTGCCTCCCACCGTGGGGCTGGGCTTGTGGCTAAAGGCCCCCCACTGCCCTCCGCTGGGCAGCCACCCGCAGGTGTGTCCGTCTGTGTGAATTAGCACCTGGCCACCCCGGGTTCTTGGTCGGTTTCTCGGAGTCTGGTTAGCAGAAAGCCAAGTCCCACAGTCCACTCCTGCTGGGAATGCCAGGGGCAAAGGAGCCAACCACAGGCCCCCACGAGCCCTGTCCCCCGTCTCATCGAGACACACCCGCTGCCCACCGGGGACCTGCTGCTTGTGCACACTGCACCGCAGCCTCCGTGGGACTGCCTTCAAGGAGCTGAAGGTCCGGGTGTCTTAGGCCCAGAAACAGGTGGTTACAGAGAGAAAGGGGGGGAGCACTGAGGAGGAGGGATGGCTGCAGGTCCCCCGTGAACCTGTGAGCAGCCCATGACACACAGGCAGCTTCTGATGCTGGAGTGAAGATGGAGAAGGAAAAGGAGGAGTCTGGCGACGGCAGGGGAGAGGGGGCATGGCCGAGGGCCCAACTGGCCAGGTGAGAGGCTGCCAGGCCACCCAGGTGCCGGTCTAGGCCCTATTGTAACCTCCATCAGCACAGGCGAGGCTTCCCGAACTGAAGCAGGAGGAGAGTGAGCCACAAGTGACACCTGGGGGTCTGCTGGACTCCTGGTGAGCGGGGAGGTGGGGGTGGGGGTGGGGGTGTGCGCAGGTGAGCATCATGGGGGAGGAGCCATGGGCCCTGAGGGGAGACCCCCAGGCCAGCCATACAGAGTTCTCCCTGCAAAGCTCCAGTCACAGCCTTGTTATCCAGCGCCCCCAGGTGGATGGTTGGAGAATGGGTGAAAACACTGAAAAACATGGCCTTTACTTCCCAGATGGGATGAAGCCACCCCCTGGAGCAGCCTCAGGCAGCGGCCCCTGAATCTGACCTCCACCACTGACCTGCTGGGACCTCAGTTTTGTTCCATGTAAAATGGGGTCCAGTCCCAGAGGCTCTCAGCTAAGTAGAGGTCTCCTCCGCGCCCCACGGTTTGTTTTCACTGGCCTGGCCAGCTGGTGACAGGATGCCAAAGCCACAGGGTGACCTTGCAGGTCTCAGAAAATCTGCCGAAGGCTGAAATACTAACCCTGCCGTCTAAGGCCGGGGACCCTGGCTCTGCCCGAGATCCCTCCCCGTCCCTGCCCCTGCCCCTGCCCCCCAGCAACCCTGGGAAAGTTACTTCCCTTCCTCGGCCTCAAGCTCCCCATCTGTAAAGTGGGGTAATGAGATGGCGTGTAGAGCACTCAACATCGAGAAGACCCTGTCTTCTTGCAGGCAGGATTACTCGGAAGAGGATTTAATTACCGTAAGTTAATTTAGATTTAATGAGGCAATGCATGGAAAACGTGTGGCCTAGGGAGGGTCTTAATAATAAATGCCCTCCTAGGACTCTCAGGCACCTCTGGGTGCTCCAGGTGGGGGCCCAGGAGGCAGGGCCTGGAGGTGGCACCAGACCAGCTCCCCTCTTGCTGCCTGCCTTGTGAGCCAGCCCACCCCCCACCCCCCACCCCCCCAGGGGCTTCCTCATGGTCTCTGTGCCTTCGTCAGCACACAGAGGCATGGGCCCTGTCTAGGCCCCACAGCAAAGCCCGGGCAGGGACCTGGCATGGCCAGGATGAACTTGAATCAAAGCCTGAGGCTCTTCATCGGAGCCCAGATGCCCGCTGGCCGCCTCTGTGCCAACCTCAAACCCACCCCAGAAGCCGTGCCTCGGCCTGGAGGCACCCACGTGCCCCTCCCTGTGTTATGGAGCCTGGGAGAAGGGAAGAAAAATGTCTTTTCTTCTGCCCTCCTAGGTCTGTGACCCTGGGCCTGCCCAATCCCCCCACTCACCCCAGGCCTGTGTCCTGTGGCTTTAGGCTGTGTTCACGGTGGGCCGTGGGTGGCTGCTGAGCTGGGCCAGTTTCTCCTGCATGAGAATGGGGGCGTGGGGGCCACAGAGCTATGCAGACTGTGGGCAAGGGCCCAGGGCTGCGCGATGCCCCAGGAGCTGCAGGCCACAAGCGTTCCGAGCAGACAGGATTGGGGGCCGGGACAGAGAGCGTGGCCTCTAGGAAAGAGGCCCAGCTCTGTCACCTGCCCACTGTGTGACCCTGGGCCAGTGGCTTCCCTCTCTGAGCCTCATAACTGAATTGTGGAGAAGCCTACCTCTCACCAAATGCACTGATTGTAGGAGAAACATCAAATGAGTGTCTCTGCTCTAACCGGTTTGCTCAGTGGATAGAGCGTCGGCCTGCAGACTGAAAGGTCCCAGGTTCGATTCGGGTCGAGGGCATGTACCTTGGTTGTGGGTACATCCCCAGTAGAAGGTGTGCAGGAGGCAGCTGATCGATGTTTCTTACTCTCTATCCCTCTCCCGTCCTCTCTGTAAAAAATCAATAAAATATATATTTTTAAAAAATGAGTGTTGCCCTAACTGGTTTGGCTCAGTGGATAGAGCGTTGGCCTGCGGACTGAAGGGTCCCAGGTTCAATTCCGGCCAAGGGCATGTACCTTGGTTGCGGGCACATCCCCAGTAGCGGGTGTGCAGGAGGCAGCGGATCGATGTTTCTCTCTCATCGATGTTTCTGGCTCTCTATCCCTCTCCCTTCCTCTCTGTGAAAAATCAATAAAATATATATAAAAAAAATCAATTGCCTATATATACACTATAGATATATAGCAATCAGTTGAAATATGTCTCGGATGAAAAGACCTCATTCATAATAGCATTTAGGAAAAAAGAAGTGGGGGAATGAGATAGGGGTGAGCAACAAAGGAAAGAGAGAGAGAGAGAGAGAGAGAGAGAGAGCTCATGGACACAACAATGTGATGATTGTGGTGGGGAGGGTGGTGGGAGGAGGTGGGAGAGGGTGTAGGAGGGATAAATGGTGATGGAAAATAAATTGCACTTTAAAAAAGAAAAAGGAAGTAAAATGTTAGGAAATACATTTAGCGAGGATTGGTAAGTTCTATGTGAAGTTAAGGGGCATACGGAATTCTTCAATTAAAAAAAAAACAGGCTTTATTCTTGGATAAGAAACCCAACCTCATTAAAATGTTTGTTTTTTCTAAATTACTTATGCATTTAATAAAATCCAAACAGGATACTGAAAAAAATTAATCGAAATGACTCATCTAGAAAGTGAACACAGCTGGGAAAATTCTGAGAAGGAAGAGCGGGGAAGAAGGATGGACTCCATTAAGCGGCTAAAAGATGGAATGCTTATTATTATAATCATCTGAGGTAATTGAGCACTTAATATGTTCCAGGCCCCGTTCCAAGGGTTTAGAAACACTCACCCGTTTGATCTTCATCACAGCCCTGGAGGTGGCAGGTATGAGGGTTTTAGAGGCTTAATTCGTGTATCCTGTCCACCCGGTCAAGTTCAAACCCACTGAGAGGACAGGGAATCGGAGACATGGAGATCAACACAGCCTTCCTATTACTAATAGCAGCGGAGTTAGAGGATGAGGTGGAGTTCTAAAAGCAGAACTTCACCAGGAGAATGAAAAGGCAAGCCACAGGCAGGAGGAGCATACTGGCAGCACAGAGCTGACGAAGAACTGTATCCACAACACGCCAAGAACTCTTATGACTCCACATTAAGAAAACAAACTACCCAGTTTAAAAATGGGCAAAAGACCTAAACAGACACCTCGCCAGAGATGCTGCCCAGATGGCGAATGGTATATGAAAAGATGGCCAACGTCACGCACACGCGGGACTTGCACATTAAAACAACACACCTATTAAA